AAATTAATAATTTAAGAGTTATCAACAGAAAAATTAATTTTTTATTTGGGACACCCTCTATATTTTTAATTAACTGAAAAGAATTTAAAATTACCTTTCCAAAAATATAGCACACTTGATATTTTGTTATAATCCCCTTTGAAATACAGAATTTTTAAAAGTTCGCCACTTTTAACTAGTAGGCTTTGGACCCCTTATTGATGATATGCCCTTAATGGAACTCGAAAACATATTTTTCCAGCAAGATGCACCGCCTCTGAACGCTGAAGTTATCAGCAAATTTTTGCAGCCAATTTCAAGAATAATTGAATAGCTAACCAAGATCCCAGCCGTTGGTCGTCGAGGCCCCCTGACTTAGTGCCCATGGATCTAATCCTATGGATATATTTGCGGAAGAATAAAGGTTCCTTATTCTTCCGTATAATCTAGACAAGAATTAGAAATACTTAGCAGTTATGAGAGGGTCTGTTTCACCCCTACTGAGTTAATGAATTCCGCGAGAAATGTTCAAAAACTGTCCCGTCTGTTCATAACAGAAGACGGTTGATATGTTGAACACCTGTAGCAAAATCTCATGTCTTGGTTTGCTATTTATTTTTATTGTTATTAGATATATTGGGTAAATATATTTTAAATTGTTATAAAATTCTGCATCTCTCATAGCAAATATTATTTTCGTTTTAATTGATGCTCACAGCTAGAATTTTTTTGCATTACAGCCGGTGCCCTTCATAGCCTACTTATTTAAAGCGTGCGAATTTTTATATACTCTATATCTCGAAGAGGAATGGAGCAAAATATCAAGTGTGTTATATTTTTGGAAAGATAATTTTAAATTCTTTTCAATAAATTAAAAATATACAGGGTGTCCCATGTAAAAAATCAAATTTTCTGTTGATAATTCTTAAATTATTAATTTTAAAAAAATTATACTGAAACCATTAAATTCTACGTAAAAAGGTGCTTTGGAAATGTTTTCATAAAAATACAAAATTTTCCATAGCAAAAAAGTTACAGCGATTTGTTAAAATTGCATATTTTTGATAAACACCCCGTAACTCCGAAACGGTAACAGATATCGATATGCGGTTTTCACCATCATGTTTTTGATGAGAATTGAGCTCCAGACACCGATATTAGTTTTCGTCTATCTCCTATAGAAAAGGGTGTTTCCATTTAAAAGCGTCGAATTTGACCCACTCTGTACATATGAGCTATCACTGGAATATTTTTCAAAAAAAAAATCATGTGCGCCATTGACTTTTTACTTTTGATATAAAAATTGTGTAGGCCTATTAATGCCAATTAAAAGTTATCTCTCGATATTTTGTCGAATTCGGCCTTCTTCATCCGATAAAACGCAATTTTATTAATCACAATTAATAAAATTAAAATAAAAATAAAATTAATAAATTGTATATTTTACCTAATTAATTATGAAATATTATTACCATTATTTATTATTACTATTAGTCCAACCTACAGCAATTTCAAATAAAAAAATAATGGTATTTATAATAATTACAAAAAAACTAATTTTAAAAAGTTTAACATCCTGTAACTCCAAAACTATGCATTTCCATACCCATGTTTATAAGAACTTTTTGTATATCTTTTGATGAGGAATCATTGAGTACTTATTTAAAACTTTCGCAAGTTAATGATATTATTTTTTTTTAAAGGTTATTAGACTTGGATCAAGGCAAATTAATAAAATTGCGTTCAATCTCATCAAGGAGGGCGAAATCGACAAAATATCAAGAGACCACTTTTAATCGACATTAAACTGCTTACACTATTTCGCTAACAAGAGAAAAATAAGTCAGTGGCGTACATGCATTTTTTTTGAAAAATATTCCAGTGATAACCCATATGCACGTCCCTGGTGAATATGCGTCGACAATTTTTTAGGTTTAAAATATGTCGCATTTATAGTAACTTTTACCCTCAATATTTTATTTGAAACGCTAAAGGTACTTCGAAGAAAATTATTATAAATCAAAAAAATATTAAAACTTGAACACCCTGTAGCTACGAAACAACGCAGAATCGGACCTATATATTGATATGAAATATCAATCTTATTTTACCGTGAGGAATCTCCCCACGAGAGTTGGCACATGTTTTTTGAAACACCCTGTATAAACAACTATAATAAACAATAAAAAAATAGTCATAAGTAAAGGACATAATCAAGGACATAAAAACGCAAATATAAAAACATCAACAACTTAAATAAAATTAAATTTCGTGGTACTTTGTACAGGTTGTCCCATTTTTGTGTTTTACAGGGTTTCTAGTTTATGAGCAGCAGTACAAAGGTGCGATTTTCACAGTTGCTACTTTTTTATGAAACTAAAGATGGTAAAAACATATTATATTTGATGCCGCTGTTAAAAATTTACATTAAAAATATATAAAAAAGACGAAAGAAGAATCTTTTCTAAAAAGACTCAAATCTCATAAAAGACTTAAATCTTTTGTAAAATGACTTAAGTCATTAAAAAAAGATTTAAATCTTTTTTAACGCTTAATATTTTTTTGCTAAAAAGACAAATCTTTTTTTAATGACTTTAATCTTTTTCTATTTTAGAATAAAGATTACATCACAATTAAAAATTATGTAAGACAAATAATTTAATAAAATACATATTAGGATATTATCGATTGTTTTTAACATGCATACTATCTCTTCTCCTTCACCATTTTGTCAACAAAGCTCATTATTGTACGTGTAAGCGAATTTGTGTTTGGTATATTGAAGATTGTAATAATTTGGAAATTTCACAACACAAAAAATACTGTATAATTCCAATAAATCGTTTTTTGATAATTAATCACGCTAAAATCATAAGATCATAAGTCCTGTTCGAGCAATTCGATTTAATTAGTTTCTGCCTATAAGTCCTAATTAAAACTTCGGGAAACGCCTAATTAGGAGTTCGAAAAGCTCGTCGAAGAGGGGAAACTCCTCCACCTTAGAATTAGCCAACTTATTCTCGCTCTGTACGTATTTCTACAAGTCGGCAATTAAAGTTTTAGTACTCTCCATAGTTCTAAGTTTTGCGAGAGCAATTTGAAACAAATTCTAGACGGATAGAGAAATTAAAACATAGATCGGTCAATTTAACTTGGGCAAGGATATCTGTAATCTGTATAAAAAAATTCTAAAACTTTTTTTTTATTTTTATGTATTGATATAATAATTTTGTATATTGCTTTTGTTTATGGCGTATAAAATTTTAATATAATTATCAAAACGCACTATGCAGGCCTATAATTTGTATTTTAAATTAATGGTACCATACGATAAAAAAAAACAGTGTCAAAAATTATTTTTGGTAAAATTTTGAAAACCACTTTCTGGATTGTTTTCTTGTAAATTTAATCTAATACCTATGTTGCCATATTATCAAGAAATTATGTTTTTTAACTGAAAACTAAAAAAATTTCAAAAAAATTTTTAAAAAAATTTCGAATTTTCAAAATTTTCTTTTTGCGAAAAAAACCTCATAGGCGTGTTTCTGGGATTGAACTATACTACCAGTTAAAATATTTGCACTTATTTCTGGGACACCCTATATCTATTGCTTTGCGAAGTTTTGACAATGTTGCAGCAATCAAATTTTGCTTGTTGGGTTACATGTAAAGGAGGAAAAAAATGAGGAAAAACCACAAATTTTAAACGCTATTTTTTTAAACCCCCCTGTCGTATTAAATTTATATAATTATATATTAATACATCAGGAAATTTGTATAAAATAACGATTCTTAATTCAAAAATCAGCGAGTTCCAATCAATAAATAAATATTTATTACAAAATATGTATATTATAATCAGAAGAACACCTACACTGGCTTTAAATACGTTCAGATATAATTCACCTCCAATCCCTCGATAGCCGTGATCGTCTAGTGGTTAGGACCCTACGTTGTGGCCGTAGTAACCCAGGTTCGAATCCTGGTCACGGCAGTGTCGCACACTGTCACGGTGAGGGTAACTTTTTTATTTTTTTTTACCATCTAATATAAAATTAATTTATTTATAAATATTAATTTCACACTTATCTGCAAAATTTGATCGTATATTATTATTTTTTCTCTCTTTTAGTTGTTCTATTACATTCAGATTAAATAGCAGTGAAAGAAAATAGTTACCCATGCCTCCGTGGCGCAATTGGCTAGCGCGTTCGGCTGTTAACCGAAAGGTTGGTGGTTCGAGCCCACCCGGGGGCGTAACTTTTTTATTTTTTTTTATGTACAATATTAATCAAATCTAATATTTCCAACGAGAAAAAATATTTATTACGAAATAATAACAATAAAATTTTAATAAAACTATTATTGAGACTATTATCATCATTCAATCATCATTACCAAATTATTGTCATTGGGTCAACTAGTTACTGTAAAAGATTATAAATCACTATTGTTAATTAAATTTGTTGTTTCTACTATACAGGGTGGTCCCAAATACCAATTTTCATCCAAATATTCACGTTATTATTTGGAAAATATCGAAATAAAAATGAAACAATGAAACTTCTACACCCTATATCTCCGAAACTAAGTATTTTGGGTCATACATGTATACGAACTTTTTTACTTATTTTTATCTGCAGAATATGCTGCCGAAGTTTCCGGAATACAGTTCAGACCACCCTGTATAATTTATTTATTGAATTTTATGATAATTATTAAATTATCCTAATGATTTTTTTGTAATTTGTACTAACTCCACTCTTTTATTTTTTGTAAGCAAACTCAAAAATACTCCAATAAATACCAAATAAGTATTTCTCAAGTTTACTCCACTGACAAAGAAGTACCAAACAATTTTAATCAAAACTTTTTGATCTTATTGCCGGTACTCGAAATAATGGTACCACCACCGCGGTACGACCCATTGCTGAAGTTGACCTCTGGCCGTCGCCGTGTTGCTCTTAAACGGCCACATTTGGCAACGCCGCCGGAACCGGGGCCACTAAACCTAAGAACAACCGGAGGCTGAAAAGATCCGAACCCGCGGTCCGGTACCACCTCAGATTTACCTGAAAATATCACCCGTTACGCTTTTGTTTTGCTATAGACATGAGCCTGCTAGACGATCTTCGCGGTGTAAAATTACCCATGTAGTACTCGAAAAGTACTGAAATCTTCGTATTTTTCTTATTTTAAGTAGTACCAGTTTCGCCGGGTGACATTTTTCGGCGTTGCCATTGTTTTTTTCTTCTTGAATTTTTCTTGTATATAAACAAAGGTGTTTTGGTTGTGTTTATTGTGGTAGTACCTACGTGAGGATAATTTAAACCAACAGTACTAAAAATTACGGTAAGTACTTGGATAAAGAAATAACGTATAAGTTATCATAAGAGTTATTTAATACGTAATTTGATAGATAACGTGTCTCGTAGTACTTGTATACATGGTAGTACCACAGTTATACTGTGGTACTACAGACTCGGTTAATCGGGTAATGTAAGATTTCATTCATTGATTACTGGTTTTTAATTGATGCAATTGGACGTTATTAATACTGGTTTGAAATAGTAAAAACCAGTGGCGTAACAATCTATTTTCAGTGTGAGATTTTACCAGAAGAGAACAACCGTTCTTCTCTGATTTTAATGGGTCAACAGAGATTTCGTTTAATCTATAGTATGTCTAGTGAAAGAATATATGACAGTGGCAGTCCTCCTTGATTGTCATTTTAATTAAAAAGTAGACTATACCGGGTGCGTCTCAAAAGTGGCTCACCCCCTATAACTTTTTTATTATTTCAGATAAAAAAACGAGATTTGGTATGTTAGTATATGACATAAATTGGGATTGATTGACGTATTCAATTGTTTTTGGTCACTTCCTGTTTCACCGGACATGACTACTATTTTTGATTTTTAAATGGCGCCCCTGTTATATTTTTACTTTATTCGATAGAAAATGATATTCTGAATAGAATGACGTATCGTATGTCAACTTTTGAAATTCTCGCTTAATAAAAAACCGTATTTTAAATCTCAGTCTAGAGTGCCATGGCTATGTTAAAAATACAAAAAATTCCCAAATCGTATTTTTAATCATATTTGAATTTTTTCAAATGGAACGAGGGTGGCTCATTAGCATATTTGGAAAAAGCATTTTTTTGCGAATAATTTGATACCATACACTTGGTATTTCAAGTCAAATTTTCGTTACGAACCGCAAGTTATAATTTCAAATAAACCATATGCAAAAATGTCAAAAGTTGACATATGATATGTCATTCTATTCAGAGTGTTATTTTCTATTGAATAAAGTAAAAAAATACCGAGGGTGTCATTTAAAAATCAAAAGTTGTAGTCATTTCCGGTTAAACAGGAAGTGGCCGAAAACAATCGAATACATCAATTAATCCCAATTTAGGTTATATACTAACATACCAAATCTCGTTTTTTATCTGAAAAAATAAAAAAGTTATAGGGGGTGAGCCACTTTTGAGACGCACCCGGTATATTTTCCCTATAATTTTTTTGTAAGTCATCTGCCGGAATCATATATGCATGCTATTTTTTAGGACAATTTGTTTAAAAAAAACCTGTCCTTTAGCCCTTGTGAACTTTGTCCTTGAACCCTATAGAGTATGTTATACCAAATTATTCGTAAAAAATGCTTTTTCCATATATGTTAATGAGTCACCCTCGTTCTATTTTAAAAATACGATTTTTTCCAAAGCTCCTTGATTAAAAATTAAGGGTTTTAACACAGCCATGGCACCCTAGATTTAAATTTAAATGCTATTTTTTTAAATTAAAGATATTTAAAAAAAGTTGACATATGATAATATTATGTCGTTCAGAATGTCATTTTCTATCATATAAAGTAAAAAAATATCGAGGATATCATCTAAAAATTAAAAGTTATGGTAATTTCCAGTGAAACAGGAAGTGACCGAATGTTTGTAATTTAACACGCCAATCAGTCTAGACTTATGTCATATTTTAACATATCATAAATATTTCGTTTTTTTATCTGAAAAAAATATAAAAGTTATAGGGATGAGCCTTTGAAAAGGTATTTTCCGTTAACGTTGTAATTTTCCCTATAGCTTGAATTTTTTTAAGTGCAAGCTAGAAACACTTGAATTTTTGGTAAAAATAAGTGGAATTCAGTGGGTGGTCGATAGTGGTCCCGCTATTAGAACTCATTTGAATTCAAAAATCGATATCTCGAAATCTATTAGAAATGATAGATTGTAGTTTTTTCAAGAGCTTTATTAATATTTCTGCTGTATTTTCTTTGTAGACAGTATGTGAAAATCTTCATCAATAAAAAAATTACGCGATTGCTGAAAATTGCTATGCTCTAAAAGTAAATGGATGTATTGTTTACAATTTTTGAATGGAAAAAATCAACCTTATCGAATTTTTCTTATGTAAACATATTGTAAAATATTCGATCTTAGAAATAAAAAAAAATTCAATATCTAAAGTGGTTCTTGAGTTATGGTCTGTTATGTGTTGTGAGTTTTTAAATTATCGCGATTACTGACGTTTTCTCGTTATAAAAAAAAAGACACCCTAACGATATCCTTATAATTCCATTTCAGATGCTCAGAAACATGTCTAATGATTTTATCTAGTTATCTCTTGAAAAAAAAAGTCTTTTAAAAATAAGCGGTTTGCGATAGTGATTTTACTTTACTTGATAGGGAAAGGTGCATCGGCAACGCCGCAACAGCACACCGTCGCGCGTCGCGTCGGTGGGTCGCATTTCTCTCACTCCGACTTAATAAAATCCCTATGCGATTTACTTCCACACATGTAAATGCCGACCCAAAAGTAACAGTTGCCAGCACGGTATAAAAAAATGTATGGTAAAAATTGTCAGTAGCATTATTGTTATAATACACTGAAGTTGGAGAACTCAAGTGTGGTAGGAGATTTTTATTGAGATGAAGGAAAGGGGAATAGATGTAAAGATATTTGAGTTAGATGATAACAGGGTGTTCAAAATAAATTTATGAATTTCGGCTATTTAAAAGTAAAAAATCACAGTTTTTAAATGGCACATCATATATGTATACTATTATCTACCGCGTGCGTCTCAATAGTGGCTTCAGATAAAAAAACACGATATTTGGTATGTTAGTATATGACAAATATAAGAATTGATTAACGTATTCAATTGTTTTTGGTCACTTCCTGTTTCACCGGAAATAACTACAACATTTGGTTTTTAAATGGTACTCTCACTATATTTCTACTTTATGACTTTCTGAATAGAATGATATATCATATGTCAACTTTTGTCATTTTTGCATATGGTTTATCTGAATTTGTATCGGGCGTTTCATAACGACAATTTGATTCAAAATACCAAGAGTGTGGTACCAAATTATTCGGGAAAAAATGCTATTTCCAAATTTAATATATGCTAATGAGCTACCCTTGTTCCATTTGAAAAAATTAAGATGATTAAAAAAACTATTAGGGCATCTTTTAACCGGTCAGGACAAGATGCGAAAAACATTAGATGATCAAATCTATTTTTCCAAGGCTTCTTGATTAAAAATTAGTATTTTTAACACAACCATGGCACTCTGGATTAAAATTTAAAATACGATTTTATTTTAAGCGAAAATATTAAAACTTGACATAATGATAATATGTCATTCTATTTAGAGTATCATTCTATCGAATAAAGTAGAAATATACCGAGGTTTCCATTTAAAATTCAAAAGTTGTAGTCGTTTCCGGTAAAACAAGAAGTGGCCAAAAACAATTGAATACGTGAATCAATCCTAATTTATGTCATATCCTAACATACCAAATGTCATTTTTTTATCTGAAAAAATAAAAAAGTTATAGGAGTGAGCCATTTTCGAGACGCACTCGGTATTTTAATAGAAACTAAAATGAAAATTCTATAGAACTATTTAAAACATTATTCTTCATTATCATGTATACAGTCTTCAAACAAACTTTAAAATGTTTTGAAAAATTTCACCCCCTGCAATTCTGGAAACTATAAAAATCACAATCTCCTTCCTTTAATTCAGTATTTTGGTAAAGAATTTCTTCTTTCAGATAATAAGGGCGTTAAAAATGGGGTCCCGCGTAGGGGGGATAAACACGTCCGAACTCCCCGCTGACAAGGCTCTGGCGGGAGTGCCCCGACTCCTGGACGATCTCCAGAGACTGTCCGAAGACACCGACTCTGCGGACATCGTTTTCATGTTAGGCAGGGACGAGGAGAGGATGTACGCGCACAGGATCATCCTGATGGCCAGGTCAGTATACACTTTTATTTATTTTTTGGATGACGCCAGTTTAGAGAATCACAATTTTACATATTGTCTATACTTTTGTGGCGAATTCCAACCCCCAACTAACTACCCCAAGCAGCATTTAGACGTCGGGACAACGTTGTGTCACGCGACCAAACGTCGGGGCGCAACGTCAGCACAACCTCGTGCCAACCCTAGTCTGCACTAGTTTGGAGAATAATTTTTGGGTCGAAACGACGTTGGATACCGACGTTGGCTAGAAGCCTAATTTAGTACAAACTGCAACGTTGTTTAAAATCCTAATTCACAGAAATACAAAACTAATATGGCGTCTAAGTCGCGTTTTATCCTAAATTGGGATAATATAGTAAAAATATTATTTTTATGATTTAGTTAGAGACATATGTCAGATGGCAGTGAAGGAAAACAAAACAAAAATATTTAAGTGTGGGGGATGTTTGAAGATCATAATTATTGAAACACTTTAACCGACTCTGTAACTCGTTACCCAAGGCAAAAAAGTTAAACGCAAACAACTTTATTGATAAATGTATTGTTTCTGCTTTGAAAAATACTAATGGGCCTTAAAATTAAAGAAGTTTTATAAATTTCCTTGAATTTTTTTTTTATTAAAATGAGAATAATTTATTCGCAGTCGAAAAAATTGTTTCCGCGTGTTTTTTAGGGTCAAATATTTCAAGTTAATGTATTCAAAAAGCAGGAATTGCTACTTTAGGAACGAAACATTTTCTTATTTAACAACATGGCGGCTTTCACTTTGTTGTTTTAGAGATTAAGATGGAGTAGTTCGAGTGGTCGCATACTGGACTAATAAAGTCGCAGTTCGGCCTTAACAGGTAGTATACTAGTCGCAAGATTGCCTAATTTAGTCATCCTAGAGTCTAGCTTGTGCCGCCCTCTATAATCTAAATAAACGAGGGAGCGGATAAACTATCGGTAATATATGTCGATGTATATTTAACTTTAGTTTTATATGTACTTTTCTTATGTCCCATTTTAATTAAGTTTTTTTTTATAAAAACAAAAACAGCACTGAACTGTCTGACTGAACAGAACAATGAAGTGAAAATTTAAGATTTAAGGTTATGGTTCAATACAATACAGTTGCAAAAAGGTAGTGACTCGACGTCCTACCAACGTAAGAATAAGGAAATCTAAACAACGTTGGAATTAGTAAAACAGACGACGTTTGCATAATGTTGGAATAGGTCCTGAAACTGACGTCGGAAAACTCTATATTGTCCAACGTTGTAACTACGTTGTCCGAATCACCCTAAAGATCACTTAAGCAAAAAGGTTAGAAGACAACGTTTATTCGACGTCGCAGAAGCTTCTACTTTGCTGTAGTACTAGTCCAACGTCGGCACAACGTTATAAAAACGTTTAAATTTATTTTAATACCGAAGGTAGGGAGCTAACTATTTTTTGTAACTAATCCAACGTTGTGTTTAGTAAACATGTGGTCGCAAGTCGTGAAAATGCTACTTGGGACACTAAAGAAGAAATCTAGAAAATAAAAAGTTAAAAATATTTTGATAATTGATTTTTGTAAACATGATTTTGAGACAAAAACAAGACAAACTTGCGACAAAAAATGGGGAATTCTGACAAGACAAACTTGAGACAAATTGTCCACACCGCAAGGACAAAAGTACAACAAAGTCAAAAGTTTAGTTGTTGCGAATGAGTTTTATTAACATATTATGTGTGATTTGACTGGTTTCCTACTGTTTGCAGCACATGCCATCCACACTGCACCGACAACTTGTAAAATATACGAAAAAAACATAGACACTTTTGATCTTTATCGACTCGAGACGGGGCATTGAAAAGTCTCCGAATTTTAAAACAAAACAAAAACGAGACAAAAATGTCGCGAAAATGTATTGGATTTGTCGAAATTTTGTCGCAAAACATAAAGGTTTCTATCTTCTCGTTGTTTTGTCTGCTTGATCTGGGCCCGGCATTAGAGGAGCTATTTAAGAATAAACTCACAGACTCAAGCCAATTGATTGAATGTAATAAACCAAACTAAGTAAGGACAGTACGCCTTAAAATTGCATTGCTGTCCCAACTAGCAAATATAGTTCCCAGTCCTTTTTAAAATGTCACTGCCCCTAAAGTATAGTTCCTAGACCCACTCTGCCACTTAAAATGTTACTCTATAAGGAATAGTTACTTTGAAGTATATTTCGAGAGTGACCGGTTAGTCCCTATCTACCATAACCGTGGAAAATAAACACCCCGATTGCAAGTCGCAAACATGTAATTTAAAGAAATGGCTGGAACTACCCGAATCTTCGAATATGACACCATAAAAGACCAAAAACTTTATAGTAACTTTTCAAAGTAGGGGTTACCAACAAGTGCTACCATAACGCCTCCATTAAGTTTTTGTTACTTTATAGTAACAATTTAAGTTACGCGGTAGTCGCGGCCACGACACCTAGTTACTTCTAATTTATAGTAGCATTGAAAGTAGCAAAATGGTTACTGCTACCTTCCTAGGTCACTAAAGTAGCCGTCGCTCATCCATTGCCACTAAAAAGTCACGGGGGTCAAAAACGGCTACTTTATAGTGACCGTAACTTAATATACCCTAATAAATATAATCGCCTCAGATTGCATAGTGTGCTGCTCTATTTTAGTGTTTTCTTTTACTTGCCCTTTTAAAATCCCTAAGGTGAATAAAAAGAAATTTAAATATTCTAGTACTTTCTACCGAAGAATTAAACAAAAGGAATCACAGCGAGCCGATGCATTAACATCAGAAACAAAAACTACATCTTTCTATACATGATGATGATGAACATCATAAATCAGTTAGTGACTGAGACATTTTTGAAGCTGTTTCTGTAGATGAGTGTAGTGTTAGTTCATCTGAACCTGAATCTCAGAAGAGAACTAATTTGAGAACCAACAACAATATAAAACAAGACCTAAAAGAGTGGGCGTTAAAATACTCTATACCTCTTGTAGCTCTGAATAATATAGAAACACTTATAATAGAAAATGCACAATAAGTAAAAAATAACTTCAAAGGACAAGGCGGAACGTTATAGTGGCACCAATATGGAATGTATAGTCACCACCACCACGATCAGTGTAGCAACGCTCCAATTAAGTGGCAATTTGGTGGCGCAGGGAACTTTCTTGAAAAAATCACTTTATGGTTCCAAAGAATCGTTGACCATGTAGTTCCAAAAAAGTTTCTGTTTCTATAAAGTCGCCTTTGGATAGCTACAATTGTCACTTTATCAATCCGAAGATTTTAAAGGTCCAAACGGGTAGGGTTGGCCCGAGGGGTAAACACATAGGGCAAAAAGTGTACACCTACATCCTCAATCCTTAGTACATCCCCTACATCCTCCAGTACATCCTCGGTACATCCCCTACATCCTCGGTACATCCCCTACATCCTCGTACATCCCCTAGTACATCCTCTACATCCTCGGTACATCCACTACATCCTCGGTACATCCCCTGGAAATCCTCTCATGTGTACGCCATACATTTAGAATAATTTTCGTGATGAACCGTTTTACGTATCTAAAATACTTTTCGAGATATACTTATCTTGGACACACTGTATATATTTTTTTTAAATTTTATTTGAATGGTAAAAAGAAAGTTAAAATTTTAAACGCTATTATCTCCGAAACTATTAAATATATAAAAAAAAAGATGAAGCACCATTTCGACTTACATTTACTAGAGGGATATAAAAATTTACAGGGTGTTTTTTATTTAAAATAAAAAAATTAAGGTTACTTTACTTACGACGAAACCGGAATTGTTATTTATGTTAGAGCGATCTCCCACTTTATTACGAGCTTTATTATATGTATAACTACACAAAATTTCTCAAACCTCTACAATTTATTGGCTAGTAATATAGTTGACACCTAATATTTTTGTTGAATTCAAAAGGATAAAAAAATCAAAACCATTAAAAAAAATTATATAGGTCTCATCGAGGAATCAGAACTAAGGCACAACCACCATAAAATCTTGCCAGAGCTGTAACAATCTCGGCTATTATTGTGCCTACAACAATTCGCCGTTACTTTTATTATACAGGGTGAGTCTTAAATAGGTGCCGTTTCGTTTCGGTTCCGGTTCGTTTCGGTTCAGTTCGGTTCGTTTCGGTTCGGTTGGTTTCGGTTCTGTTCGGTTCGGTTCGGTTCGGTTCGGTTCGGTTCGGTTCGTTCCGGTTCGTTTCGGTTCGTTTCGGTTCGTTTCGTTTCGGCTCGTTTCGTTTCGTTTCGTTTCGTTTCGTTTCGGTTCGGTTCGTTTCGTTTCGTTTCGTTTCGGTTCGGTTCGTTTCGTTTCGTTTCACTTTCGTTTTCGTTTCGTTTCGTTTCGTTTCGGTTCGGTTCGGTTCGGTTCAGTTCCAGTTCGGTTCGGTTCAGTTCCGGTTCGGTTCGGTTCGGTTCAGTTCGGTTCAGTTCCGGTTCAGTTTCGGTTCCGGTTCGGTTCGGTTCGGTTCGTTTCGTTTACACACTGCCGTTTACACTGCCTATTGAGAATGCATGCACTTATAGGGTTTTCTGCCGTTTCGTTTCGGTTCCGGTTCGTTTCGGTTCAGTTCGGTTGGTTTCGGTTCGTTTCGGTTGGTTTGGTTTGGTTTGGTTCGGTTCGTTTCGTTTCGTTTCGGTTCGGTTCGGTTCGGTTCGGTTCGTTCCGGTTCGTTTCGTTTCGTTTCGTTTCGGTTCGGTTCGGTTCGGTTCGGTTCAGTTCGGTTCGGTTCGAGTTCCGGATCGGTTCGGATCAGTTCAGTTCAGTTCAGTTCGGTTCAGTTCGGTTCCGGTTCGGTTCGGTTCGTTTCGTTTCGTTTCGTTTCGTTTCGTTTCGTCGTTTCGTTTCGTTTCGTTTCGTTTCGTTTCGTTTCGTTTGGTTCGGTTCGGTTCGGTTCAGTTCGGTTTCAGTTCCAGTTCAGTTCAGTTCAGTTCGAAGTTCCGGTTCAGTTCAGTTCGGTTCCG